TACACATTAAATAGCTGTCTGTAGCTTACATTCCTAAATTCCTACCAACAACAGTGGCTGCACCCACGTGTAAAGTATGCCCGTCCTTTTTTTTTTTTTTATCAATTTTTCACAAAATGTACAATTTTTTTTTAATGAACTATTAACGGTGTAAGAAAGAATTAAATTTATGTTGTTGGTTTTAAAAATTAAGCATACTCATTAGATATCTAAATAATACATAATATATTTGGTATCAAAACTATAAAGAAGTAAACAGTAGGTTGAAGCATTAAACATGAATTATTTTGTAAATGGATAAAAAAAAATACTTAAGTGCAAATCTTATGTCCCTGGCCCTCACACATATGATCAGAATATATTCGTAGTGTTGTACTCCATATTTAAATTATCTACTGACACCAATCAAAATATTATTAAACTCATATCAGAATTATTATATAATCTCATCAGATCAATAAAGTGAAATTTTTAAATCATCTTAAGTATCGTACATATTAATTTTAGTTTCGGAGTATAGCGAGGGATCTATTGGTTTTACTGTGATGTGTGTTGTTTTTTTTCTGTCGGTGAACATTTTTTTTATTCAGAAATCTGGCACTGAGTATCAAGTACAGCTCCTTTTTTAAAAGGAAATTTTTTTCAGTTATGCATTCGGGACGTCCTTTTTTGATTTTCAAAGGGGTTTTCAAAATAATTGGGAAAAACCCGAAATAAAACTATAAGTATAACGGTGAATATATACGTTTTGGTGAAGCGTTACCCATTTAATTCAACTATTTTTTCTACCAGAAATATTACCCCAAACGAAAAATGTCAAAAATGTATTTTATTTCTTTTAATATGTTATAGCGACTGACAAGAAAACATTGTTTTTTGATACTCAAAGTAAGGTACTTTTCTCCTAATAATATACAATAGGCATGGTTTATTAAATAATAAACCACCTTTTAAAATTATATTACCAATGCATGTAAGGAGAAAGCTTATATGAGAAACTGACAGTTTCCTGTTTGTTCAAAGTGTTTATTGTGTTTTGAATTTGAATTTTACTATTTAGTTGTATTATACAACTGATAACAAGTATTACATAAATAATAATAGACATTGGATTCGTTTTTACAGACATCAGTTATACAGATTAAGTACAATAATATTAATTTAGTTTGACTTTTGAATTTAACATATTTGTTTCAACTATTAACGATAAACATACTATGAGACGTGTTTGTTATCTTTGTTAGGTTATTTTAGTTTCGTTAGAAATGTTTAAGCTTGAATTTTAAGTTGGCTACCTACTTATAAGTTGTTATTATAGAGCGATTATATTTTAAAAAAATGTTAAAAAAAGGACAAAATTATTTCAGTAATACATTCAAAGTAATATTTATTAACTATTGTAGGTTTTTTTTTTTTTTTTTATTATATTTTCTTAATTCCGTCTATACTGTCAAATATTTTAAATTTACCCGTATATCTTGGACGTATTATCACCGGTATCGATTCTTGTGATTATTATTTGTCATGATAAACCAAATGAAAAATGATTCGGAGCGAAATTTATTTTAAAAATATCATTCATTTTTCCGGGTTTCCTACATTCTATTTCTGGTTTTTCCCAATTATTATGAAAACCCTTTAAAATATCAAATAATGTTCTCTTTAAATTACTAACAAGATAAAATTTTCTTTCGGAAAATGTTCTACACTTGAAATTTTAGAACAAGATTTCCGGTAGAAAAGTTACCTCAAAGATAAAAAAAATTATAATAATCATCATTGTAAAACCAATATATTCTCCGATACGCCCCGAAAATCGATCTAAATAATCAATTTAACCCACGCCAAAGTCGTTGAGTATTGAACACTTTACTTGGACATATTGACGGCATGAAGGTAACTTATCTATAATATGTTGATCAACCTCTTTGAACAGTACAAAATATGGTGTATACATAAACAACTCATTCACTGCATCAACACTTTCGTAAAATATCATACAAACATTCCCAAAGAAGTTAAAAATTATAAACTTTTGATATTTCCACAAAATCAAATAGTTTATAATTGGCATACTATTGACAGTTTATTTACTGGCACACTTTCGGGTGTGTGGTAGAAGAAATTGAAAATAATCATAAAATCATAAAAAAAAATCATTTTTCGTAACGTTAAATATTGAAAACTTTTTATTTTACATTTAAAGAATCAGTGAATTCTATATTAAAAATATGCTTGAAAACATGGCAAGTTTGGAGAGTAGTATTTTTTCAAATTTAAATATTTTCTTCCCCCTCTCTGCCAAAAAGAGGGCGACCATTACCGTTATTTTCACCAATTATTTTGTACATGCGTATTAGATTTAAATAGGAAAACCAAAAAAAAAAAAAAAAAACAGTAACGTAATACCTGCTAATAGACGAATCATCAATATGGAGGTTAAGGTTAATCGTCCGATTTTATGGTATTTTATAAAGTTCTTACGATGAATTCATGATTTTTACTATCATTAAGTGGAAGTGAGAAACAGAAACAACATTATTTTTTAGAGAAATAGGTAGCTCAAAATATTTCGATAAAATGGATTTTAATTTAGTTTGATAAGCAATTAAGTTTTTTTTCGAAGCAGGTACTTATACTAAGGTAAATGGAAATAGTCTAAATATTTCAACATACTTTTGAATGGATTATCACATTTTTATTTTTTCGTTCTATTGAACAAGCTCGGTTAAAGATATTTAGAGGCCCCGGCACTAAGTTTTTTAAAAAGAGTTCCTCGAAATGAATACAACCAAAAAAATTGTTAAAAATTAATCAATACATTTTTGTATGATTAAACACGTCATTATAGACGGACAAAATGACATATCACTGGGTCAAAAACTTATACTCGTGGAGTCTCGTGGCCCGGGGGCCGTGGTTCCTTCTGGGCCACACACGCCCCCCCTCCTCTTAATCCGGGCTTGCGTCCAAACGTTTTTCGCGTTCGTACGGCTTGGACTCCCCGAGAAATGTTTCGGAAGGGGTATAAAAAAAAAAACCCCCGTCTTTGTACAACCGTAGAATACGGTATAGCTTTTTCCCTGTACACACACTCGGAATCTACAATATTCCTTGCGACACACTCGGATCGTACGCGAAATAATAATTATGTTATTATTTTGCACAACCGCGGCGACAGTGCGATAGCGGCGGAGTGGCGGGTGAGCGGTTGCGTGTGGGTGGGCCGAGGGAATTATCGCGCGTCTTCGGGGTATCCGCGTTATCATTACTATTATTATTATTATTATTATTATTGTTGTTATCATTATTAATATTATCATTACTATTATTATTATTATTATTATTATTGTTGTTATATTATTTCGATTGCGTTACGGTTATTGTGTACACGTTCGGACGAGAGGAAAAGACGAGTCTTACCGGCGCGGCGGGTGTGCCGCGCGAGGTGACGGCGGTTACGGCGGGCGAGGGGATTTTGAGAATAGGGAGGGGGGGGCGCGAAGTCGGGATCGACACGGCGGCGAGAGGGCGCTGGACCGGGGACGGGCGAACGGGAATAAACGGCGAAAAACCGCGGAAGCGCAGTCTAATTTTGTGCGCAAGTTCGGCGCGCCAACGTATATCCCGGGGGCAAGATCGCGGCGGCGGCGGCGGCGGCGGCAGCGGCGGCGTTAGCGTTTTACGCCGTGTTTGCGTGTCAGATTCCGTCGCGGAAAGCCGGTGCGCACGGTCCGATCCGGTGTGCGGTCGTGTGTTTCGGGGTTTTCCGCGTGTATTCCGTATTCGCGGGCGCCGCGTCCGTTTGATATTTTTTTTTTTTTTTTTTTTTTTATGTTCCCGTAATTTTATCCGTTCATCTCGGATTTTCGCGAACACGCCGCGGCGGTAAGTGCGACGTTTTTTTTTCCCCTTGGTATTTTTGCGCGGTTCGGTTCGGTTTTTTTCCGTTTCTTTTTCCCTCTCGATTTTGCCCGTACGGGTTCTTTCTCGACGCCGCGCTACCCGTCGTATTGTTTAATCGTCTCCGTCGAACAATCGGTGTTTTGATTTAGTTTATTTTTTTTTTTTTCCCCCGACGAGTACTGCGAACGGCGCGTAATATTACCGAAACACCGTCTCGTCACGATAATACTTCGTATACATGTGCCGTCATGCGGTGCGAAAATTCGCGTCGATTCAACGGTCCTCGCGACCGTGACTACGGGACAGTGAACAATAACAATATCGGTAGTGTTTAAAGAAACCGAAAAAAACAAAAAAAAAATTATACATTCATCGTTAATTATTACTATATAATATCATTGTCAGACGAGGATTGTTTTTTTTTTTATTCTTGTCAACATGTTCGCCAAACCTGCAGCGACCACCAGACGGACCATCGCGTACCGAGCTCTTTTATTGGCACTCGTCACCGGTAAGTCACGATTACGCCACCTATGATATAATAGTTATTGTACCGATAACAGCGATAATATTTCTCATATCCGATAATTGTTATAACAGTGTCAGTCGGGTACACGAATCAATATTATTGTCGATTGGCAATTATAATCATCATCCCTTATTTCATTACCGTACAGGAATACTATAGGGAAATACTATACGAAAAAGATTGCCCGACAAATTATTTGTCATCACGGAAATATTACTGAGCGTTTCCGTTTTTTTTATAAGCCGAGTTAAACGTCACGATCCCAAATAGCCGACGAATTCGACTGACCATCTTCACTAGGTGATGCGTAAAATTGTAAATGCTTTTTCTATCCGTTAATTATAATTATCATTATCGTTATTATTACTATCTTTTTTCTTCAATTCACCTATCCAAATTAATACTTTTCAAACACACCGAATACCGATAGGTCTAAATCCTGTAGACCGAGCCGAATTTACCGATAGTCGCCACCGGCCCGTCGACGGACGCTATTGCCGATTCGGTAAATAATATCATTAATAATACAATAATATCAATATCGGGTTTTTCGGGTTTATTTTGACGAGTTTCTTCGCGAGGTATCGTCGGAGATAATAATTCGGGATCTAAATCAATTATCAATCATCAGTCCTCGGGAGCCAACTGCTAAACTGTGGTTTCACAGCAGTCGGATTTCCACAAAGTTCCGACGTTGTCTGAAATTAAATGGTCAACCACGCCCGCGGACACTGATTGAACGGAAATTAAATTAATTTTCAATACGATCGAATCTAACAAATTACCAATTAAAGAAACATAAATGTCTTTTTTTTATACACATACAATAATACATCAAGAGAGAATAATTTAAAATGAACGAGTGTAATCGTCATGGGTGGATTGGGAATAAAAACCGGTCCCGGATAAAACTGTTCACTCGTATTCCCATTTCACATTTGAATATTCAAATACTGTATTTTTTAGCATTACCATAACATCGATAATAAATTATAGTCATAGTTCAATTTTCCATAAAATAACTCATTGTACTGTGATTTAATCCACGTAACATCAGTTTCGATATACGCACTGCTATCTTGCAGACATGCTTGTTTATTCAAACTGGGTAACAATTAACATATAACAATTATCGTAGGTGTCAATCATCAATGCCTCACTCTCTCGTCTCGGACACCGGTAGAAGCGGCCGTTAGTAGTGGTTCGAATACTTTTTGCATTTTATATATTTTTGCTAATCACAGCACAATTAAAACATTTTATGTGCGTCAAAAATGTAAAAAAAGTAAAAAAATGGGAACGGGTGTAGCCACTTGTGTAGGTGAGAAGTTGGGAAGGTAGGATATAGACGGAAATCTAATGTATATCTGTAACAATAAACCATTGCTAACGAAAATATGATTCTAAGTGAAGTTTAGTTGATAGTGATACTTTGTCAACAATATATAATGACATTTTATAGTAAAATAATTGAATAGGTTTTGTATGTTGTTTTAATAAAATTGGTTTAATGTTATATCGATTTTCCAGGTTTTCCTACGTTTTCCTCGGTTTTCCCATTTTTTATCCCGGTTTTTCACATTTGCTGGAAAAACTCTTCAGAAAATCAAAAAATTGCTTCTTTAAAGTACTTCCCTAATGAAATTTCCTTTTAGAAACAATGTTATTTTTAAAATTTGGAGCAAAATTGCTGGAAGAAAAGTTGTTCACAAAAAAAAAAAACGTAGTATTATATTTATTATATTTCGCAAATTGTCTTGTTTTTTTTTCGGTTTTTTGCATTCATGAGAAAATCAAAAAGATCATTCTTAAAATACTTCCTCACATCGATTTTTTTTCAGAAAAAGTGCTACACGTAGAAATCTGAGCAAGTCTTCTGGTAGAAAAGTTACGCACAGTAAAAAAAAAAAAAAACGTCTTTGTAAAACCATAAGCTTCTTCGCTCCGCTCATAATCTAAAAATAAGGTTGCCAAAGTATAGTCTGAATCCCTCATGTAACCGCCTTGACAGATTTATATTATTATTACTTATACTTAAAGTATCCGAACTACTGACATTTTTTTTTTTTTTTTTAAAGTGTAAATAAAAATCGATTATAGAATAACCTTCGATTTCTCAATCGAAAAAATTCATATTGTTTTTGTACATTAACAGTTAAAAACTCCACGTGGATTTTAATTTTTCAGACGTAACAAAAATTGTATTTAACTCGTGAAAACGATTTTTTTTGTTTTTTGTTTTTTTTTTAGTTTTTTTTTTTGTTTTGGAATATACATAAACTAATTTTGTTCTACGAAATTTGGTACTGTACAAACTTAATTAAAGAAGTTTTAAAAATGTGAACAAATTGTATGTATATATATAAAGAAAAAGATTTTGTTTCACAAACTCTTTTAAACTTTATCCAGTTGATCGCCGAAAAACCGTTTGTAACTTAAGTAAAATGCACTATAATTTGATACCCACTATAATTATATTATAATAATATTAGGTTTGTCGTAGCAGATGGACTGCTATGTTAAGAAACCTGATACCTGACACGGCATAATTTTACTTGATTGTGAGTATATATCTACCTAGTTAATATTCCACAGTTTATTAAACATGTGAACTTCGATCGCTTTCTATTTATAGTCTGTTATTTAACTTATTTTATTATGTACACTCGGCTGTTTAATTGTTAAACATGTTATGTAGTTTTCGTATTATCAGCTTCTTCCCTACGATTTAAAAACTGTTTAAAAAAACTTTTTCAAAATTACTATAAACTATCTCCAAAACTGATAATACCATTCCCACATTCTTCCAATTAGGCATTCGAGCTAAACATTTTTTTGCGCTCTAATATGTATTATTGAAATCCTTCCTCGCGTAATGTGTTTTCCCCGTCAATATAAACAACTCACTGTCTAATCAATTTATGAATGATTATTGCTGGAGTTCCCCAACGTAGTGGCCGCTATCCCCTCTGCTCTACTTAATCTAAACCTCAGATATATCTACATAGTCATTCACTATGCTGAATAATTTTTTCAGTGATATTAGTATCCTTGATCTGTCACCGACCCCACTATTGCAAGCTTCAAACTCCATCCTCGAACTAAATCACCAAAGCCGCTATCAAAAAATCCATAGTTAATTTAGATTCTACATCAACTCTAATATTATTCACAAATCCTCAAAATATATTTCTGATAATCCACCAAAGTAGTTAAGAAGAAAATAGTGTATACCGTCTATAAATAATAATAAAAAAAAAAAAAATCTCTGCTAATAACCATGTTAGGTACTCCTACATCTTGTCTTCTCAAGTTATTGTTCTGTTATCATCACTGTTCTAACTTTTACATTTTTTAAAAAAAATGTATATATGTATATAAATTCCATGTACTTCGTGATATTCAATAATTGTTCGACATCAGAATGAATATTTCACTACCCATACTGTTTAAATAATAATAATTTATTTTTAAAAAAAATTCCTGCATTAGGCCTCAATGAAAAAATAAATAAATTTAATAATTGTTTATAATATCTGTAATATTAAACCCATGTGGTATTTTTATGAAAAAAAAAAAATAATAATAATAATTTTTAAAAGAATCTAAAATATCCGAATGAAATTTATATGAAAGAAAAAAAATCCTGTTAAATAATAGTATTCCGTTACAGCAATGTATATAAATATAAATCGAATGTACCATCGATTATATTCAATGAACTGTAGTTATTATATAAAAACCTGCTCGCGGATTTCTAAAAATACTCACATTTATATTTTTAAAAAAAAAATTTCATAATTTTTAACGAAAATTAATTTTAATTTATGTATTGAAGGATCTATGTAGATAAGTCTAATGGTGATAAATATTTATTTTTTAGTAAGAGAACTGTTTTCTTACTGCACGCATTGAATTCCGATTTTATTATTATAAACCACAAAATATAAAAATTATAATGAGGTTTGAAAAAATAGTAAAATATCGTTTCAATTCAAACTCTAATTATAGTTAATCATGATTTATTAAAATGAACAGTTTAAAATTAAATCTATAAATTATAAAATAGGTACGCGTTTGATGATTATGGATCGTCGTGTATTATTTCGGAGGAACCGATACAGTATATTCGAAAAAAAAATTGTGTATACATACCTATACAATATAAATTGTAATTTTTGAAAAACTTTTAATCTGAATAATTTTAATATGAATATATATATATATATAACATATTCGGAGTACGGGTAATATATTTTAAACGCATAACTTATAACGGTACGGTAAAAACTTGTTTTATTTTATTACCTTTTTAGAAGAAATTTAAGTAACTCTTAGTGTTGAAAAGTTTCAATAGTTCCAAAGTAATCTGATCGATATTTTCACAAATGAATATAATATATATGTAGCTATTTACTTTATATAGGTATAAATAAGTCCTAGTAAAATAAAAAAAAAAAAATAAAAAAAAAATTTGATAGCATTTGGCCGTGCCTATAAAATACACAAGTGATATTCTGTTTCTGCCCGGATAAAAGTGTAATATTACAATAAAAATGAAGTATAATATTATTATCGGTTATCGAAACCGACGATCGACTCGTATAATATGATATTTTAATATTGTTTGTGTGTCATTATATTTATTATTTAACTTTGGTTTGTTTGAGTGTCATTCTACAAACCTACACGTCGTTTTGAAACACCGAGTCCTAAATCATACCTTACTAAAACACACGAGATCAATATTCAAAAGGACAACGATACAATTATTATTATAACCCCTACGTATTCTGTTATGTTTAACAGAGTTAAGTTAGGTATGCAATTTCCTTTCAATCGACCGTCTTTTAAATTGCATTGTCTTGTCGTGAATAGTTTACTTAGGTAAAATACAAAATGTGTGAGGCGGTGCTTATTTTTCATTAGCGGTACTTTTCAATGTTCCGGGTACATAATTTTAAGCCGTTACTTACAAAAAAAAAAAAAAAAACAACCCCAAATATTTTATGCACCGATTTATTTATTAAACTAACACGTTTTTTTTTTAAACGGGAATTGTGTCTAGTTGATGCATATGAAAGTCGTTTTTTTTAATTTTCCGTGTTGTTTTAAAAATAATTGGTAATAAACGGAAAAGTTTACGAAAATAGCTGTTTTATTATTGTAAATTTTATTGTTTTTGGTGTAATTCGATTAAAAATATTTATAGTAGCCTGTTCATAGAATACTTGAGTAAAACTTTTCTAGACGTGGTAAAATTTTAAAAACATTCGGTCGGTTTTGGGGAATTTTATAATAAACATTTTGTTTGGCAGATATTATGTGGATAAAATTATTTAAATAAACAGAAATGCTTGAAAATCACACAGGGTTGATTATAAGTCGTTTTAAGTGGGCAAAGAAGAATAATTTGAGTTTAATGTAGGGGTTATGTTTTTTTATAAGCGTTTCAGGGTCAATTTTTGACAAACGTTACCCAGAATTGAGTTTTATTCATCTTTGCGTAAAAATATGAATTAAAAAACTTTTGTCTCCTTTTTTTTTTTTATTATAACTGTTATAAATTAATTAAAATTATTTTTCAAAATACTCTAAAATAGCGTGTATGTATAAATAGTAGCGAATTTGTTGTTTGATAAAAAAATAAGGAACCCTCTTATATTGATATTGACAGTGTATTATTATTATAACGTTTGTAAAATATTATTGATATTTATCTAATTATCGGGAAAACTAATCGTGATAGAAAGATGGACAAAATGGAAAAGGACTACTTGAAGTGTATA